ACTCCTAAAGATTCGGGGTGCTGTGTGATATCTTTATAATTCGCCCCCCCCCCAACCCCTTACCTTGTTTATATTACGATATTGTGTCCCCCTTTCTGTCTCAAGATTGAACCGTTAAAACGAAGGTCTTTCCGGTTTCTCACATGTTGAACGCTCCATCTCAACCTCTGCAAATCCCCCCTTACACGAACTTAGATGGCCTCTGCCCCAGAGCTGCAGAGAATAGGAGGCATAGCTTATTACATCAATTACATAGTCAAGCTCCCTCCCTGCCCTAGAGATGTAACTCTTCCCAAGGTCCCAATACCCCATTCCAGATGACCCGGGCCCCGCTGTCCAGACATCCGTGTTGAAGGCACTGTGGACACTCTGGCAACAGCCATCAGACTCTCACCCAGGTTGCCCAGGCAGCCCAGTGGGGGCCCCCACCCTGAAGGGGGTGTGGCCAGCCTGAAAACGGCCCTCAGCCCCTCACCCAGGCAAGAAAAGGCACCCCAGCAGGACCCCCACCCTGATCCAGGACATCCTTCAGGGCAAACCAGCCAGCCCCCACTCATGCACCAGGCCTCTATCCTATATAATAAAAAGGTAATATGCAAATTGACCCTAACAGCAGAACCACTGGGAATGACTGGTCACTATGACACACACTGACCACCAGGGGGCAGACGCTCAATGCAGGAGTTGCCCCCTGGTGCTCAGTGCACTCCCACAGGGGTAGCTCTGCTCAGCCACAGCCAGACTGAAGGCTGCCAGCACAGTGGTGGTGGCGGGAGCCTCTCCCACCTCCTCAGCAGAGCTAAGGATGTCTGACTGCAGCTTAGGCCTGCTCCCCGCTGGCAAGTGGACATCCCCCGAGGGGTCCCAGACTGCGAGAGGGCACAGGCCAGGCTGAGGGACCCCCGCCCCCCCGAGTGCAAAAAGTTTTGTGCACCGGCCTCTAGTTGTTTAATACCATGCTATTTAGCCTCCATGTGTTTGGGTGTTTTTACTGTAGTTGATTTCTAATTCATTCCATTGTGTTCTGAGAAGATGCTGGGTATGATTTCAATCTTCTTGAATTTGTAGACTTATTTTGTGTCCTAACATGTGGTCTATCTTGGTGAGTGAACCATGTGCACTTAGAAGAATGTACATGCTGCAGCTTTGGGGTGAAATGTTCTCTAAGTGTCAATTAAATTAATATGATCCAGTGTGTTCTTTAGAATCCATTTCCTTGTTAGGTTTTTGTTTGGAAGATCTATCCAGTGAAGTCACGGAATGTTAAAGTCCTTTACTATGACTTTAATGTTGTTGATCTCTCCCTTAACGTCCTCTAGAACATTTAAAAAATGTATTTAGGTGATCCTATATTGGGTGCATATATATTTACCAGGATTATACCCTTTTGGTGGATTGATCTGTTTAGCATTATGTAGTGACCTTTCTTGTCTCTTGTGATGGCCTTCATTTTGAAGTCTATTTTGTCAGATATGAGTATTTTATACCCCAGCTTTTATTTCTTTTCCATTTTCACGGAAAATTGTTTTCCATCCCTTCACTCTCATCCTGTGTGAATCTTTTGTCCTAACGTGGGTCTCTTTCAGACAGCATATAATTGGATCATGTATTCTTATCCATTCAGCTACCCTATGTCTTTTGATTGCAGCATTTAATCCACTTCATTTAAGATTATTATGGATAGGTGTTTATTTATTGCCATTATAATTCTGTATGCTTATGCTTCCCTCTCTATATATTTCTTCTCATTACAGCACAGTCCTTTTAGCATTTATTTCTTTTTTTTTCTTTAGCATTTCTTGTGGTGCTGGTTTCATGGTGATAAATTCATTTACTCTTTTTTTTTTTGTCTAGGAAGCTCTTTATTTCACCCTCTATTTTGAATGATAGCTGTTCTAAATATAGTAATCTTGGTTTCAGCTCCTTGCTTTTAATTACCTAGAGTACTTCATGCCATTTCCTTCTGGCCTGTAAAGTTTTTTATGAGAAACCAGCTGACACCTTTATGGGAGCCCTTTTGTAGGTAACAAATTGCTTTTTTCTTACTGCCTTTCAGATTCTCTCTTTGTGTTTAATTTTTGGAATTTAATTGTGATGTGTCTGGACATGGGCCTGTTTGGGTTCTTCTTGCTTGGGACTTTCTGTGCATACTGCACTTGTGTGACTTTTTCCTTCACCAGGTTAGGGAAGTTTTCTGCTATTATTTCTTCAAACATATTCTCTATCCCTTGCTCACTTTCTTCCCCTTCCGGAAAACCTACTATGCAAATATGTTACGTTTCATGTTATCCCATAGCTCCCTTAAGCTGTCCTCCTGTTTTTCAATTTTCTTTTTGGTTC